TATAAATAGTAAAAAATTAAGTTATTAATCACTGACGTAATTAGGCAAAAATTCTAAAATTTTAAGGTTCTAAGATCCAAAAGACAAGAAAGCTGGAAAATTAAAAAATTCTAAGGTTCAACATTTTTATAATCTGATATTTTAAAATTAGAAAAAAGTCGTAAATATAAGATTAATGCGTTAAACAAATCTCATTTGTGATCAATTATTTTCTTAAATTATTACTTCATATTATTTAAAATTTCAAATACCTAGCCCATGCTAACATTTCTAATTAAGTTAGCAAAAGAATTCGTAAAAGCAGGGGTGATGAATTCCTATGGAAATTCAAACGTTACTTAAACTTATTGGTGACATAGCTGAAACGTAGAATCTTCTTTGAAGATATTTTAGATAAAGCAAAATATTCCGAGTCTCAATCTCGGTTTTATTTTCAAAGTCGTAGCACGTGTATCGAATCGAGACCTTTTAGAGGCTCGACTTCTTCAACGATGATAAACACATTGGCCCCAACGGGATCTCACGATCCATTACTACCGAATCAAATGTTTTTCCGCTGACTTTCACAAAATAGCATAATTTATAGGCAAGATGAAATCGAGCACCATGGTCCCGTATCTTTTTCGCTTTCGCTCTATGTCAATGACTACTTCGTCGCTGGTTAATTATTCACGGGGTTTGTTAATATGTGCAAATATATGATAATAGGCACCGTGTTTAACCATAAAATGTAAATACTATTTAGCAGAGAAAAATATGATTGTAGAACGTGTAACGTTCTGGAATATTTTGCGATTCTTTTCTATTTTTATTTAACCCTGTATACTAATATGCTAACTTTCATATCTTGTTTCAGGGTTTAAATAATGAATATTTGAACAGTATTAAGCGTCGAATAAAAGGATGGTGAAAGTATAAGAGAATTTATGAATTTTTCCAATAATTTCCAGCCGACTTTTTTACATTTTTTCATAGCAATAAATTGTTTACTGCTAAACAATTGTTTACTGCTTTGAAAGATTAATTTTATTAAGCGCAATTAATGGAAATTTATAAATGAATATTGTATTATTATATCTTTAAAGTAATGTCATTGTACTAAAAAGTTCACCTTCATCATTTTTATCTCAAAATAATAAATCCCTAACAGACGTTGTTGACTTTAAAACATAATTACAATATTGATAAAGTAAAACATTTATTTAATTCTGGTGTTTCTAAATACTTAAGAATTCTTGATTATAATTCATTATTCGACTTCAGCAAATACACACCTCATTTCCATACATGTGTTTACAGTGAAAACAAAAATGTGCTAATTAAAACACGTACAATATCGATAACCTGTAGTGATAATAACGAAGTGAATGAATTCACATAAGAAGTAATAAAACTCTGTATAATTCAAGATCACAAAATTTAAGGAACACTATCTGTTATCGGAAAATTTAACAACATTAACATAAAATTAAATGAGAGCTTAATTATTCCTTAGCAAAATTATTAAAAAAATAATTGAATTGTAGATTGAATTCTTGCTTTAAAGAATTGGATTTATCTATCAAATTAAATCTAATCATCAATTGAAAATTGATGCATATAAAATCTGAATTAAGAAAAGAACATTATGTTTCACGCTTTTTGACGACGAAGAACCTGTTACTTGAATTGATAATTAGCTTCGACCCTGTCATACGAATAAAATAAATAAACAAGCTTCTAGAATCATACAAACGTTTGCCGAAAGTAAAAGAAGAATAATATTTGTTTTATATTCATTGGCGTAACAAGGTAGGGGCCAGGGTGGGCTCAGCACCCCTAAAAATGTGAACTGGCTCCTTCAGCATTATAAAATTTTAGGATTCTAAGATTCTATAATTTGATAATTTGAAAATTCCAAAGCTAATATTTTAACAATTTAATAATCTTGAACCGATTACGTTATTTATAAGCAGAAGACAATACAATTGAAATCTAAAATATAGGAATTAATAATCTCATATTTCCCAAGTTTTTTATTATAAAAATACATCAGAAATACAAAGAACTCAACCACATATCAGACAAACACACTAGATTCCATGATGAACATGCTTTATTCCAGAAATACAATGCGTCAACGCAATCTATACCCGCAAACTTCATTCACGCCGCAAGCAGGACGCGCGTTTCTGATTTTCCATCGAGCGGATCGCCTATTATTATATTGTGGTGTACACCGAATTGCGTTTATAAGCGATATAATCGCGGTTCGATGAGAATCGGCGACAACGATAAAAAAGATAGGAAGAAAAACGAATTATTCGCGACCCCTAGAATGGTGTCCAACGATTGGAAACGCTTATACGCGAGCATGCTTTATGTATACGCACATCATGGCTTACGTGTGGTGTTTGTTCCATCGGTAAATCGGCAATGTCAACATCGGTACCATTGTCAAATAGGAAAACGTAGGGTATGCTAATTGGTGGAAGTTGATCTTAAAGCGGATCTATGAAAACATAAGATACGTGTACAGTATCCATTGTAGTAGGCTTCACTAGGAAAAATTATGATAACCTGAGCCCCCGGTTTCCGGATTCCCAAACCTCCTCTCCATAGGCTTCCTCGGGTTTAGGCGTTCCCGAAGGAAATGACAATGTAGAGGAGGAGGCGCCATATACAGGGTGTTCTACAAAGAATGTAAAAAGCCCCTTAAAGGGGGGTGGTGATAGACTGAGGTAATTCTGAACAACATTCTCCTTTACGAAAATGTTGTTTAAAGCTTCGTTTTTGAATTATTAAGGAAAAACACTGATCAATCCAAGTTAACCCCTTGCACTATACTGAAACTCGGAAAAAGCCAGACCAAACACGGGGCGCCCGAATGGTGGGGATAGCAGCCCAGCGGCGCAGACAAAGTGTCGGATTGTGAGTGCGAGAGAGACTAATTCGAAATCTCGATCACAAGTGAGACTCGTGATATTCAAGTTTGGCCTAAAATTTCCATCACGAGTCAGACTCGTCAAAATAGTGCAAGGGGTAATATCTATAGGAGAGAGGAGAAAAAGGGAGGTTTCGTCTCGAGATCGTTTGTTACACTCGTCAATGGGGCTGACAACAGACGTCTCTGCCCTGTACACCTACTATCATACCGCAATTCGGAACTTCTACAAGGTAATTTTTTCGCTACTTTACTCAAAGGAAGTGCCGCCACACTGTAGTATGAATGGACCCAAGCCGTTTTCTCGACGGGGGTGCATACTGTAGCTGTGTCCGTGAAAAGGTTTCGATGACAGAAAAGGGCTTGGGTCCATTCATACTGGTGTGGCAGCACTTCCTTTAAGTTAAGTAGCGAGAGAATCACCCTGTATACAGGGTGTTCGACAACAGCTGGGCAAAATTTTAAGGGGTGATTCTAGGGATCAAAATAAGACGAAAATCAAAAATGACGAAATAGTGTTTGCGGCTTTGTTTTCCAGTAATTAACGTTTAAAAATAAAACCTGCGATCTGCTCAGCACCGACGACTGAACATCAGGTCAGCAGGCGTGGGTACAGTCATAACCAAGAATCGTTGAATAGTAGAAACTTACCTTGTGCTATTCTGTTTCTCGGTAATGCAGCATTCGGCTTTCCCTTCTTGGTTATGACTGTACCTTCCCCTGCTGACCTGACGTTCAGTCGTCGGTGCTGGGCGAATTGCAAATTTCAGGCGCTTTTTACTCGAATTTTTAAATGTTAATTACTAGAAAACAAAGCCGCAAATGCTATTTCGTTATTCTTGATTTTCGTCTTATTTTCATCCCTAGAATCAGCCCTTAAAATTTTGCCCACCTGTTGTCGAACACCCTGTATATTCGAACTGCATGCCAGGCGACCGCTTGTGAGAACACTGTCACCGATCTCTCGCCGCCACCTAACGGCCCGAACTAAAGGCGTCCGGGGAGACGAAACCCTCCCCCAACCACTAAACGTCTACATATCATCTAGATTAAGATTTTGACAATTCCTACTTTTCTCAAGGGAAACATACTTACCCGATACTGTACATTAGCGGGCATGTAATTATGATCAAGTTTGTATGCTTTGATGAATTTAATATTGTTAAATATGTGAATTTTGAGAAGGTCTTATGTGTTGTAAAAGCAGTGCAATCTAGTGTGCTTTAAAATTTTTTGTATTAAAAAATGTTCTAATTAAAGAAGCATTTACTTTAAATAAAACGAAATTAAATTTCTGTGATGCGTTGGTAAATGATAAATATAGGCGATGCGATATTTGTTTTCCAAAGAGTTTCTGTCTATTCATTTTAACGTTTAGGTAATTTGTGTACTTACGCTACCAATATTATTTATTTTACAAGGTTTCAATTCACTTTCAGGTGATCTTCAGGCTTTTATTATAGTAATAATAACATTTAATTTTTAAATTTTGTTCTTTAATATTCTTTATTTAAAAATTTGAATTTTTCACTTTTATTTTAGATACTTTAAACAAATTTAACTATTATTGTCATGAACACGTTAACTGAGTATCCATGCAATTGAAAAGAATGTAATACTTACGGTGCATTGAAGAAAAAGGTGAGGCTTCTGCATTAATAAAATCCACAATGAAATGAATGTAATTATTAAGTATTCGTATACATAGTTTGGGTGAAAACTATACGAATTCTTATAACTACTCTCTCATATAAGAAAAAACAATTTCTATCTTCTTGTTCTATTATCTGATTCACCTAGCAACTTGATAAAAAAATTTAACGAGATGTTAAATATTGCAAAATCAAAAATTAAAAATACTTTGGTATCATTTTCGATTATCAAACAAAACTACTTTTAAATAAAATTATCCCAGTTCAACTTCGCTAATAAATTTTCAAGGTGTCAATTTAAAAAATTGATTTAATTATCATTAAATAATATAATAATATAAAATCTTTTGAGGAAAAAGGAGAATAATATTAAGGAGCTACGATGGAATTGTGTTAGAATAAAAAAAGGAAATGAAATCAACGACTTTTGAAAATAGAATTTTCATTAGCTACAGTAGCAAAATACCTATTCACTTAAATATTTGGCTTCACACGTTTACCAGGCTAAGATCGTTTATATTAATATACAATATGTAAAAGTGTGCCATATTGGATATGGGCAGTGTCGATGGTAGTACGAGATAAACTTACTCTTTATACGAAATTTACGAGATATAAATATACATATAACATTCATATTTATATATATATATATTACTTTACATGCTAGAAATGTAGTACGCTAGGCACTTGTTTGAGTAGTTATAGAAAAGAAGAAAAATAAGAAAACTTACGACGTACACTGAAGAAAGCGATGGCGGGAAATTCGTAGACGGACCCGGTCAAACGAAAAGAAAACTAGGACATGGACGAAAGATGAAAGGAGCGGAAGCACGAAGGGACAAAAGAACGAAGAAGAAGTAAAAGTTACAAGAAGACAAGAAAAATCTAAGGAAAACGAGACTGGGATTACGAAGAAACGAAGAACAAGATATTTACGAGGGGTGAAGATTTGAAAGGAAACAGTTCTCTTCAGCTCTGTTCATCTCATTGCTGAACAATCCTTTCTCCCTTACATTCGCGTAAATACATGTAATTCGTAACGGCAGTATTAATGTTCGTTCGTTAAAAAAAAGATGAGGGAAAGAATGAAGAAGAAAGAAAAAAAAAGAGAGCAAGAAGAAACTCGTAAGTTCATGATTCTTTTTACGTGTTCTTTATACACACTTGGCAGCGACTTATTCGGGACCTGAGGTTACCTGCCTTCAGGGTCTGTTTTTCGGGCCTTTGGAATTGTTGCCTATCTTCGATGCTGGCCATCCAAAAACTGAATTCGTTCGCGTAATAATGGCAGTGTCCTTTGGCGCCGTTGCACTCGATGAACGGCGTGGCACGGAAGTCCTCCAGACAGGATCCAGGACTAGACAGTGACTGTCCTCCACCTTGGGAGCCGGCACCAGTGTGCTGAAACAATCAGACACTTTTTTTAGTAATGTGACATGCATATTTAAAACCCGCTGAACCTTCACAGGAGATTCTCGTGTGAATAGTAGAATAACAACTTTTTCCAAACTTTTCATATTGCGAATGATTTATTTTTACTAGAAGTACTTATATAAAAAAAGATCCCAATTCAATAAACAATAGAACAGATATTAATTGTCTTAATTTCGTAGATGAAGACACCTATAGTACCTTCTGGTAATATCTCATAAATTTTAATTTTGGGAACTAGTATAGTGTCAAGGTCGGCGTTAGGGAGGGACGCGGTCGGGCAATCGTCCAGGGCGCTAGATCTGTTGGGGGCGCCGCAGCCCGGTGTCCCTAGTTTATTCATCTATATCCGTTTAGATTAGTAAAGCTGCTATGTAGTTTAACCATTTTTACAATCTAACTACAGATTCATCGTTTCATATTATTACCTTGTCTTTTTTTCTTAAAAATTTTGAACCCCGGAATGGGCGCCACGATAATCTTGCCCAGGGCGCCAATATTGCTAAAACTGGCCATGTATAATGTACAGTATTACGAACGAGTTTTGTTGAACTTCATTTCACAAATTCGTTACAAAAACGAAGTACGACCTACAAAGAGCTCCAATTTACGACCCACATAGGAGATAATAAATATTCTTTAGCAAATAATTTGAATAAGGACCCGAGATGAATAAAATGTAAACTGAGATGGAATGAAACAGAAAACAAAGTATTCAAACTCTACACCTTGTTAACATTGTCAAAAGCTTGGAATTGAAAGAAATCAACGTGAAAGTTTTCGCTTTATTTCGCAACAATGAGAATTAAGTGAATGTCTTTTTGAGGTAGTCGGTGCTTTATCGATGTAGAGCTAGCGCGATAAAAGTTTGAATTGAAAAGCAGAGAAGCTTCGAAAGTAGGATAGGCTTTCGTCAGAGAGTTTCAAATGGCAGAGTTGAGAATACGTGGAAAGACCGTTGAACACGAGATTTGTTGAAGCGTCTCGCACGTTCCTGGAAACCGTGTCGTTTTAAAACGCGACGTTTGTTGTAGGATTTACGATGAAGGATGTGAAACACTGACATACAGGAAACCGTAATAAAAGTATTTTAAAACGTTGAGCTTCAATTGAAGCTACAACTTAAATTATTGTTTAACATTAGGTCAATTCAAGAGCTTATCTTTAGATTCTTCATGACATACTTTTAAATAAATAATCAATACGACTTTTAAGAATATAAAGTCTACGAAAAATCAGGTAAAAGATATTATACAAATCTCAAAGGGAAGATAATACAATAAAAAAGAAATTAAAATAGGAAAGTTTAGCCCATTGAAATATTCGTCAAGTAGTAAAAAGTATGAAAAATCAACATCGTATAAATCAACACAGGGCTCAAAAATATTTAAAACTTAATATTATTAAAGTTCAATTCCAGAGCTTAGAAAGATATGATTCCTAATATTAGGTATAATGTAATGCAATGTTTATAATCCTTCAGACACGGTAATTTATACTATAATGAAACAATGGAAGTCGTGGGTAAGATATCTGAAATTTCGAATGAAAAAAGTTAATTATTCGTACCATGACAAAACTGTATCCGATCCAAAGACCGGTCCATCCTTGTGGACACTCTGGAATGCTCAATGACTGACTGTGCACTGCTAACACATTCGCTGGAACTTCGCATACCACACACCTGCGAAAAAATAAATAAATTCATTAATACTGTTTTACTAGTAACCACATCAAATTATTAACAGCTCGTGTATTGTTCATGAACGAAATGGATAATTACTATTAGTTTAAAATTCAAAAATACCCTTAACTCTCTATGCCATAGAGTCTATGAGAAAGCTGATTCGTTTATGTCCGAAGCGAAATTTCCCTTCTGATATTTGACTCAATAAACGATTATATTGTATATTAAAGTAAAGACCTCACTAATTGTAAGTATCTCAGAATTTTCTCAGATTATTCGGAAGCCAGGAACAGTAAAAAAATTTAGCCAGTCACGAAGTACTGATACAAGTGTTTTTCTTAAAAAAAAAAACTCAACGTACCTGGAGATGTATTCTTCTATCGCCGTCTCCTCAATAGGCATCATGGGAATTGGACTATTGGTCGACAGCCAGTAAGAACGATCGTTGCGACTGGCATAATGGCACACGTTGTTGACGTCGCAAAAGAGGAATGGCATAGTCGAGAACTTTCTTACGCAGGAACCAGCGTAACCTGTTCCGGGATAATTTATTAAATGGCTGGTATGATTGGCCAGAAGGAAAAGATCAGCAATGAAAAGGCTGATCGCTTATTTTTAGATATAGTAGGATGTCACCATGAAACAGTGTTGCAATGCTTAAAGTATAATCTGTAATCTTAATCTGATGATCAATGCAAATTATAGACATTGACACAAGTAAATAAAAAAATTATTTGGGTAATTAAAAAAGGATTGCTCCTGCAATCTGTCTTAATAAATCTTATCTTTGCGTTAAATTTTGAAAAACTGATTAATTATAGTATCAGTTTTTTATTATAAAAGGATGAAGTGTTTTGTTTCATGGAAACCAATTGAAAAGTTAACCTAGCTGTTGTTACATAAATTATAACAAAGAATATGATAAAATATTTTGATCTTTTATACTTGCCTAAATCTTGCGAATGCGCTCTTTCATCGCCATCTGTGTACAATAAACTGTATCCTTCCCAGAGTTTGATGTGTCCTGGCTCGCAAACTGGAACCGTTTGACTTTGACTGTGTCTGACCAACAAGATACCAGTAAGATAGTCAGGGACCACATCACACGGTTGTCCAGGTTCACCTGCAGGACCTGGAACTCCCACAGGCCCTTGCAAACCTGGCAAACCAGGCGAACCGACAGGGCCTGGTAGACCTGGCAAACCAGCTGGGCCTGGAGGTCCTGGAAGCCCGGATGCACCCTTCACTCCATCCAATCCTGAGAATCCTGGTGGTCCCGGAAGTCCCTTTTCTCCTGGTGGCCCTGGTGGACCCGTAGGTCCTATAAAACAAATATTTATGAGATAAGATTTACACATTTCGGTGTCTGCGATAATTGTAATATGCTATTTTATTCTAAATTTACACAATATAACAAATGAAGTGTAAAAAATCAAGATACTTGTTTACCTTTTATATCCTTAATAAGCAATGAAAGGATGAAAGCTTGATCAGTACTTTTTATGTTACAAATAACAATTTCAAGGTATTATGTATTGTAGTAAATATATCTGTATAATGTTTTTTTTTTACTTGAAGTTAGGCACCTTATCAGTTGCAAAAGGATTAACTATACGTACCAGGGTATCCACGATCTCCTTTCGGTCCCATGGGAGGTTCGATACAATCTTCACCCTTGTCACCTTTTGGACCTAGATAACCAGGGGGACCCTTCAACCCTGCTGGACCAGGATATCCTCTGTCACCTTTCTCTCCAGAAGCTCCAGGAGCACCATTCAGACCGTCCCAGCCTCTGTCACCCTTTTCTCCGGGAAGTCCGTCCAATCCGCTAGGTCCTATAAATTGTTTTCGAATAAATTTTTGAATATCCTCCACGTCTCCCTATTATTTTTTCAGCATTTTTATTGAAATTTGTGATAAATGCACTACACTTATTTTCTAGTAATGTAAATGTATGAAATAAAAATATGGTTGATTTAATAAATATAATTTAACTCGAGTTTGTAATCATTTAATATAAAATACTATTTGAACTTCAATGTTTACCTGGAAATCCTGCTTCTCCCTTTTGTCCTGGAATACCGGGCAATCCTCGTAAACCAATGTCTCCTTTATCACCTTTTTCACCCAGTAAACCTGGCATTCCTTCAAGACCTGGACGTCCGTCACGACCTGGTAGACCCGGAGTACCCGCAGGGCCCATATCACCTTTTTCACCCTGTGGGCCAATGGGACCATAAGGACCCTGATCTCCTTTGTACCCTGGCAGACCTGGCAAGCCTTGCTCTCCTTTTTCTCCTGGTCGCCCTGGTATTCCCTCTCGTCCATGTTTTCCTGGCATACCTGGTAAACCTTTTTCACCTTTGACAGTTAATCCTGAAATGCCTGAGGGTCCGCGTGGTCCTTCGTCACCTAATATAATAAATACGATACGTTTGTTGTAACATTAGGTATTCTAAGCTAAACGTGGATCTCTTAACAGTAATAATAATACAAAATAATTAAAAACTATACCTTTAGCACCACTATGTCCTGGTGGTCCTGGGTTTCCAGCTGGACCAGGTGCACCTCGGTCTCCCTTTTCACCATCGTATCCAGCAAGACCTTCTAAACCACGATCACCTTTCTCTCCAGGTGCACCTGATAGTCCGGGAATACCTGGTTCACCTTTTTCACCTTTGACCTGAATTGTTGGGCCAGGTGCTCCACGGTCACCCTTTTCTCCAGGTCCACCAGCAATACCCGGAAGACCAGAAGGACCTTAACAAATAATTCAGTTACAAATGTATTTAATAGTACACACCTCTTTTTTATTATTATAAACAGGTTTAAAATATTTTACCTGGGAAACCACGCTCTCCTTTGGAACCGTTAAGTCCAGGACGCCCTGGAGCTCCCATATCACCGTCTAGACCAGGGAAACCAGGAGGTCCAGGTGGACCAATATCACCACGTTCGCCAGGCAAACCATCGATTCCAGGTGTTCCTGGTTCACCTGATGCACCTGGTGGTCCCTATTTACAAGAAAGATAAAATTCAATTTAAAGAAATCGGCATTATAAACATACAGCAGTAACAATAAAAGATACGTACGAAATCTCCTTTAAGTCCAGGGAATCCTCTAACTCCTGTATCACCTTTTTGTCCTTGAAGTCCTGGCAAACCATCACGACCCGGTATACCAGGTTCTCCCTTTGGTCCTGGTAATCCATCACGACCCATACCAGGTATTCCAGATTCTCCTTTTGCACCATCAATACCATCTCTACCAGAAGGACCCGGAGGACCGCGGATTCCTGGTATACCTGGCTCACCCTTTTGACCTTTCTCCGACACTTGACCCGGTTCACCTTTACGACCCTAATAAAATTATAAATAAAATGTAATTAACCCGTTTAGCAATGCTTTGACAATGTACTTTGTCTACTATACGAACTGTATTAATTATTTTAAAGATTAAACTGTGCTGAGAAGAAAAAACTTACTGGCAAACCTGGTGGACCTCGATCACCTTTAAGTCCGTCGAATCCAATTGGACCCACTAAACCAGGAGGGCCAGGAAGGCCATCATCTCCTTTATCTCCAGATAAACCAGGTGGTCCAGGTCTTCCTTCCATGCCAGGTAATCCAGGGAAACCAGATGAACCTTTCTCACCTCGTTCTCCCTTCATTCCAGATGCACCTTCTACACCAGGTCTACCTTGTAAGCCAGGTGGGCCACGTCTACCAGGATAACCTTTTGGTCCATCGATACCTGGTTCGCCTCGATCTCCTTTCGCACCAGGGAATCCTGGAAGACCGGCTCTGCCTGGTTCTCCCGGTAATCCAGGTTCACCTGTACATACGCACTCGATGTATGAAAATTTATAGCATTAAACAACGTGGCTAATTAAAAAAGTTTTGTGAATAGCGGAGTTAAGCAACCCCATACCTTTCATTCCATCTAGACCAGGAATTCCCGCTACACCAGGAGGACCTCGAGGTCCAACTGGTCCAGTATCACCCTTCCCTCCAGGTGCACCAGGTAAACCACTTATTCCTGGAACTCCAACGTCACCCTTTTCTCCCATAAATCCTGGCAGACCAGGGAAGCCGACTTGTCCTTCTTTTCCTGGTGGTCCTGGTAAACCTTTTTCTCCTTTCTCTCCTGGTGGCCCAGGCAAACCAGGACTACCCTTAACTGATATTCCAGGTTCACCCTTGTCTCCTTTTGGAGCTGGAGCACCAGGGAATCCTCTTGGTCCTTCACGTCCAGGCTCTCCAGGGAAACCCATAGGTCCCATATCACCTTTATCACCTCGTGGCCCTGGTAATCCTCGTGGCCCAACTGGTCCAGGTGGACCGATTTGTCCAGGAGGACCAGGTGGTCCCTAATTTGATTAAATTTTATTGTAATCTTTTACACGTTCAAAAGTAGCTACTATAGATAAGTAGGATGTTATAAAAGACAAAACGATTACATTAAAATATACTTACCGAAAAACCTTGCAAACCTTTGTCACCACTTGGTCCATCTCTTCCCGGAGGTCCGGGTTCTCCTTTTTCACCCTGAGATCCTCTATCACCTTTTAGATCCTTAACCCATGTCAATGGTGGACACTCGCCTATTTTACGTATGATTTACAAGAGATTTACGATGGTATATGTCATTTAGAACCTTGTATTAATAATAACTATTATAGTATATATTTACCAGGTTCTCCTTTTTGCCCGTACAAACCAGGTTCACCCTTGAATCCGGGTGCACCTAGTCGACCTGCTTCTCCAGGTTCTCCTTTCACGCTGATACCACTTTCTCCTTTTCGTCCTGGAACACCTGGTCTACCAGGTATACCATCTTGTCCAGGGAATCCACGATCTCCCTAAATGTAACCGAGATAGTAGATTAAAAATTGCTTTTAATAAACAAAAAAAAAATATAAATCGTAATAAACGTTAAAACTTACAGCTGTACCCTTGGTACCCGGGAATCCTTCGAATCCAAGTGCACCCTTCTCTCCAGGAGGACCTTGTGGACCCGGTGGACCGGGTCTTCCGGGTTCGCCTCGTAAACCTCTCTCACCTTTCTCCAGTTTAATCGAACTTCTTGAAACAACTGCTGGCGTACCTGGTACTCCTTGAGGGCCAGCTGAACCAGGAATACCATCTTTACCCTGTTAAAACAAAAAAAAAATACAAAAATGTGGTTTAATAAATACATAGAATTGTATAGTTACCAAAAACTAATGTGAATTATATAATTGCTTAATTGATATCATTTTATCTAAAATACTCGAATGAGTTTTCAGTATACCGGTGGTCCTGGTGGTCCAATTGGTCCAGGCAGTCCATCAGCACCAGCTTCCCCGGGGAATCCTCGTTCTCCTGGTGGACCACGTGGTCCAGGAAGACCAGGAATACCATCGAGGCCACGATCTCCTTTAAGTCCTGATAGTCCTGGCAAACAATCTTGACAACGTCCTCCGATATCTCCCTTTTCACCTGGAGCTCCTGGAAAACCTGGAGCACCGTCTTTTCCTGGAGTTCCTGGCTCTCCTGGAAAACCAGGTTCACCTGGCGATCCAGGAATTCCATCCAAAGAGTCCCCTGGGAATCCACGCGGTCCTGAATAACCGCGTTCTCCCTTTTGTCCTTTCTCTCCATCTAAACCAGGTGCTCCATCCATTCCTTTAGGGCCCTACATCAACAAGTAGTTAAAGGAATCCTTCAATAATACTTTTAATTCAACATTAAAGTTAATTAACGTTTTGTTATTTTTCAACTAATATTTACCACAATCGACAGCCCTTTCTCTCCTTGAAGACCTCGTGGACCAGGCGAACCAGGAGGACCGTCGAAACCTCTAGGTCCTGTTGGTCCTGGGAATCCAGTGATTCCAGGCTCTCCTTTACCCCCTTTTTCTCCTGGCAATCCCTCGGGACCAGGAATACCTTGTGAACCAGGACCACCGGTCATTCCTATAGGACCTCTTGGACCTGGATCTCCTGGATATCCATCAGCACCACGAGGTCCAATTGGACCTGGAAAACCTTGAGGTCCTTTTGGTCCTGGTGGACCTGGCGTACCTTTACCGCCCTACAAATATAATTAAGTTAACAGATAACGCTTAATTATTAACAAGTAATAATTACTTTAGTATAAGACTGGTACTCACTCCTGGTGGACCTGGAGGTCCTCGTAATCCTGAAGTACCCATAGGTCCATCTCGACCCGGTTGTCCTTTCTGACCAGGACGACCAGGAATTCCGTCTAATCCATCGTAACCTCGATCTCCTTTACGTCCAGGTGGACCTGGGGGTCCTGAGAAACCATCCCTACCCTAGATACAATAAATTCTTCTATCACTGCTATCCCACATTTTTATCTTATTGATCAAAATTACATCGTTAATACATTCTACTAAACTTACGCGAATACCGGGAGCTCCTGGAAGACCTTTCTCTCCTTTCCCACCTGAATAGCCAGGTATACCATGATCTCCAATTAAACCTGGTTCTCCTTTTTGACCGTCAAGTCCCATTTCACCCTGCACAAATAGTCAGAAATTAAATTACTTTATTATAAAAAATTAGTTATAAACAGTTTTTAAGACAATACCTTGTCCCCTTTTCCACCAGGTTCTCCTTTTTCACCCGTAACTTCTGGTGGCACTCCTTCGAATGGTACAAGAGGAACAGATGAACCCGGAGGCCCTTGCTCTCCCTTTTGACCTTTATCACCCTTTACACCTTCAAATCCGAGACCCATGTTGCCTTTCTCTCCTTTTGGACCAGGTATTCCAGATCCACCCTGAATGATAATTAAAAGTTATACTTTATTGAAAAATTTCTCAGTGACACCAATATGATCACTTACATAAGGACCACGTTCACCCTTTGGTCCTGGTATTCCGTGTTCTCCTTGAGGTCCTGGAGGACCTGGAGGTCCTCTCACACCATCGATACCTGGTTCTCCTTTCTGACCAACAGGAAACATCCCAGCAAACGCTGGTTGACCTTTATCTCCTTTAGGACCTGGAGTACCTCGAAAACCACGAGGACCGGGTTCTCCAGGAAGACCACGAAGACCAGGTTCACCCTAAGAGATAAAGAGGAATTATTTTGATGTAACTAACAGCATTTGAAGAGATTAGAAAACTTTACTATTAGCCAATAATAATTGATTTTATGCTGTTTTTAAAACATACAATGATAGTAGACAACTTCACTATTTTTTCAGTAATAATAATAGTAATAATAATAATAATAACAGAATACACGTGTCAATTTCAAATTACACTTTGAAATTATTATTCCTTAAAAAAGATGGACGTATGAAAATTTATTGTTTGCTGACAAATCGTTTTTAATACACGTACGTCTGTTCCGTTGCATCCGTCACGACCAGGAAGACCAGGAGATCCAGGAGGACCTTGAACTCCGGGAACACCATTTATACCGGGGAATCCGGGCATACCCATTTTTCCCTAGGGAAGAGCGATGCAATTAAAACGGTTAGAAGTAACGATTAAAGTGGATTGTTCCACAAGTACATAATGATACGTACTCTGTCACCTATTGGCCCACGTGGTCCCTGAGGACCAGGATCACCTTTCTCTCCTTTCGGTCCTAGGAGACCTTCCGCTCCAGGAAATCCTCTTTGACCTTTGGGACCCTGTGGCCCCATTACACCCGGTGAACCCTGTATACATAAATTATAGCAAATTAATTCTTCAAAATCGTATCTACATTCTGAAAAATACATTTCTTTATTTACAATCGTACATTGAAAGGAAGAACATTCCAATGATGAAATATAAGTGATATTTAGTCAAACAATTATATCTTTTTATTAAACAGCTATTTATAATAGAAATTCAATTGGGTATTTAGGATTGTTTTAAAAAGAACACGATTTCTTGGTTGAACTCTTTCTGTTATTTTGTACGAATACTCACTCTCGAGCCTTTTTCTGCAAAACATTTCGGTACACAGCAAGCTGATCCGGTGCAATTCTTTGGTTGAGCTCGTCCTGGAATTGGCACAGCCGAATAACTACTCGGATAATTGTCCGAGTCACCAGCTGCACCGTATCCTCCTCCTTGACCTTGCGAGTATCCTCGGCCATAAGGATCTTCACGACCGTAAGCGTCTCCGGATCCACGATTTTCTCCGTAGCCATCGCCATAAGGATCTCTAGAACGTTGTCCTTCTACTTCTGCTCCTCTTCCGTAAGTGTCCTCATAACCTCGAGATCTTCCGTAAGGATCAACGGGTCCTTGATTGTAAGGATCCTGAGTGCCTTGTCCCTGGCTCTGGCTATGGCTCTGGCTATGGCTCTGGCTATGGCTCTGGCTGTAGGTCCTTCGATCTCCGCCTCCTTGTAAAAAGGAAAAATTACTCGCAGCTTTGAAACGATGGTCTGTCAAACGAAGATTAAAGGATCCAAATAGTAATGGAAGAAAATTATAAAGAGTTTGTAGTGATATAACGAACGGAAGTGTTACCAGGAGATTACATTAATTAACATTAATTTAATTTGTAATTAAATTCTAATAAATTTATAATTATTAAATATAATTATGCTAACAATAACAGGATAACAAGAAACAAATTTATTCTATTCTTAAAAGTATATTTAAGAAATAATCAATATATTATTGTATAATATTTTGTAGAAGAAAAACAAAAAATTGTATTTACTAAAAACAAGAAATCTTTTCGATAATGCTATTAATAATTAAATATGCAATTCATTCATATTTAACAAAATGCTACAATTTCATAAATATTTACAACACACTGTAATAAAGGATTAAGTACCACATACAATAAAACACTATCAAATAAATAAACGTTTATAATCATAAAATTCTTTTCCAATTATTAAGAAGGTATAAATTGTAAGATTAAAAAAATAACAATATACTAATTGAAAAAAAATGTTAATTGATATTTCAACATGATGTTCAAATATCTGCTTCATTCTTTTAATACTTTCGGTGTTTCGGTAAAATGAACTTTATTTCGCTTCAGATTTCAATTTCCTATTATAATCAGTTAAATTTTATGGAATATCATAAACTTGCGCGGGCGCATAAACGGTGGTGGTATTATCGATTAATAGGAAACTATTACACAATACTGCAAAGGGAAAAGATTAACGATCTCATTAATTAGCAGACTGAAGTTGAATCCGTAAATCTCACAATATTGCGGTGAAGCTATTACAACGAAAGGAAGACAAATGCTTTTTCTTGACAAAATATTAACGATCAATATCATTAATTCTACAAATGACCCACGCGAGGACCATAAAAAAATAAACGAAGGCTAATAAATGGTTTCAAGAAATATGTATACCTACTATTTCCATTCATTTCTATCTATTACAATAATTTATTTTTCTGAAATGATTATAAATATTTGAAGTAGTTGTATGAATTGCAATGGTGAATATAAAAAAAACTTTAAATGTGCAAAATGTAGATCTGCGATCAAATCAGGCTTCTCCAGGAAAAATGGTGATGTTCCGAGTTTTCGCCCTTCCCCATAGGCATCCATAAGGAAAATGACAATGTAGGAAAGGAGGTATACAGGGTGTTCGACAACAGGTGGGAGATTTTTTAAGGGGCGATTCTAGGGGTCAAAATAAGACGAAAATCAAGAATGACGAAATAGCGTTTGTGGCTTTATTTTCCAGTAATTAACGTTTAAAAATTCAAGTAAAAAGCGCCTAAAACCTGCAACCTGCCCAGCAGTGACAACTGAATGTCAAGTCAGCAGGGGTGAGTACAGTCATAACCAAGAAGAGAAAGTCGAATGCTACAGTACTGAGAAACAGAATAGTACGAAGTAAGTTTCTACTATTCAATGATTTTTGGTTATGACTGTACCTACCCCTGCTGATCTGACGATCAGTCGTCGGTGCTGGGCAGATTGCAGATTTTAGGCGCATTTTACTTGAATTTGTAAATGTTAATTACTGGAAAACAAAGCCGCAAACGCTATTTCGTCATTCTTGATTTTCGTCTTATTTTGATCCCTAGAATCACCGCTTAAAAAATCTCCCACCTGATGTCGAACAATAGGAATCTAGCTTTATTTATTTACTTTGTTATTCCTACCTTTTAGCTATACATTAAATTTTATAATATTTAATGATTAAAAATTATATAATTTCTTTTTCAATTACTTTTAATATTAGCATCCTCAAAATTAGGATTTTGAAAATTCCTGCTTCTCTATATCGCCATTTTCCCTAAGGAAGCCTGATTTAATCGCGAGTGTACCCTTGATCAAAATAATAATTCATAATCTTATTGCTCGACGAAGTGAGCAGTAACCAATCGATTTATCGTGAAGATTTTAGGTACATTATCGACCATTCAATATCACTTTAATTACCATAACCTCGTTGATATCCTCCCGAACCATCGGTTCCAGATCTTTGACCATATTCACCGCCATCGGGGTATCTGTTGTACCCATCATCGTAATTGCGACCTTCGTCATATGGTTCTAAATTCCGCCTGTCTGCTTCCTCTGAACCTGCAAATGAACACAGAATAGATATTGAAATTATAGAAGTCAGCTGTACCTAGTAAAAAATTACGACAGAAAAAAGATTATAAGTAAATACAGAAAAGTAAGAAACTCTAGAAACAAAATTAGTAACAAATTATCAAAGAAAATATGCACATGTTAAAACATTTAATTACAACTGATTATCTTGTATTCTAAACAAATAAATTTTTTCCAGTACCTGCTTAATTCAACAGGAATTGGAGTTATTTAATTATTTATCCAAAATAAATTATTTAAAGTGTCATAGACATACAAGCAAATATTTCTTCGTGGACGTCATAGTCCATTTTGTATTAATAAAAAAAAAATGTTAACCGTTCAATTATCAATAGTTTTCTGTGTACTTTATTGGCGTAACTAGATAGAGGCCAGGGTGCCCCCTCCTCCTCACAATTCTAAGATCCTCAGGTTCTAACATTCCAAGACTCTAAGGTTCTAAAATATAAAAATTCCAAGGTTAAAAACTTCTAATATTCTACAATTATAAGGTTTTAAAATTTCGTGGACCTGACTACTTTAGAAAAAGGTTCTAGTTACGCCAATGGTCTACTTATCTAAGGTTGTCAGTGTATAATAGAATGAAACTTTTTAGGTGAAAATTGAGGAAATATAGATACGATGCTTACCTTCGTTGTTCGAAAGAAAAGCTCTCCATCTAGGTGCAATATATTCGTCATCTGTACTATTTGGCTTTCCGATATCACCTCGTCCCAGCGGAACAACCGGTGGAGGATCGTTCGACCATGATGTGTGATTAAATTGCTAAAACAGAAAAAGACAAAATAAAAGTCTCCGAGACGATTTTTAAACTAAAATTCAATAAGCAAGAAGACTCAAATTCAACTGTAACATCAATTATTTAACGCCAACTATAAATTAAATTAATGAGGGTGTATTTATTTTTATACTTTAGAGTAATTTAAATGTATTTATAAATTACTTTCATTTTTGATTGAATAAAACATTACAATTTTTATTTTGAAAATGAAAATAGTTTGTAAAATTTTGTAAAAATATTGTAAAATATTTCAAGAGTAACTAACTACTTGTTCAATAATCGATACGCGTAAGATTATCAACCGAGATCTGGATCTCATTCAGAAGGGATCTATAAACTACTTTACCGACACTACTTTATCGATCACGAAATAAAATTTAAAAAAACCGATTTAAAAAATTTAGGATACAGTGACAAACAGTACGTATTTAATATATACAGAAAATTAAAATAATATATGTAATGATAAAATACTTGAAGTTTAATAAAATAAACAATAATAATTTCTGTAGAAAAATCAAGTGCAGCCTTTTTTTTAACAACAAAATAGTTTGCATTAAATTGAAATACACACGATTATAATTCTTTCTATTTTGTAATACGAATCCAAGAATGTAATGAAAACAGAAACTTATATCATTAGATTTTCCTCTTTTTATCTAACCATGTTCAATTACAAAATAAGTTGAAGAATTAAATGTTAAATCCTGTCTAGTGTAAGCAAAATCACCTGTAGATATAATTTTAAATACTAAATATTTTATTAAATGATAATGAAAAGTTTTATTCAGCAAAGCTTTACCGTGTTTAAAGTTCAAGGCTGCGTCAGGAGTTCGCGTTGAAATGGAAAAGCATACCTAAGCAAATGCTTATATCAAATGCTTATGTTAGGTACAGAGATTAAAAGTGTTTTCAAGAGGATCTTTTTACTTCTTTATATTTCTCTGGTTGCATCAACTGTCGATAAGTTATCAGTTATTCTTCTTGTATAACAGAACCCGTCTCAAGTTAACCATAAAATTTATTCAATGTATCCTTGCTATGAAATTTGTACTTATCACGTTAATAACTTACTATTATTTCATAATGAAGTGATATAAACTTCTTAAGAACAATATTTATTTCATTAAGGTCATTTTTTAGTATATAAATTTATTACTCATGGCTTAAAAATTTGTTAAGAAAAGTCATAATATTAAAATTAAGCTCTCTTATCGTTAGAATGATATTAAAATTGAATTTGAAATTGAAATTTTGATTGACATTTACTAAAAATAATGTTCTAGTTCTAAATTATTATGCTTTATTGCTTATTCCTCAACTCCCTGCAAAGATACAAAAAAGAAATCCTTCGAAAATAAAATTACGGTCTTCAAATGGCATTCAAAACTAGAAATCGTAAAGCTACTTCTTCAAATTTCACGATGTTATCAAATACTGTTTCAAATCTAATACTATACGTTCTAATTAATTCCTCCAGTTTTAACGCATTCTTCTAATTCCTATCGTCTGAAACGTGTTATATAAATCTTTGAAATCACATTTTAATTGATAATATACTGAAATTCTTTAAAGTTTCTTAGCACTGAAAAAAACAGCGTTAAATGTATGCTTAGTTTCAAATTAAGAATAAGTAAATAAATAAGATAAATTTTAACAAAAACACATTATAATTTCTATGATGTGAAATAAAAAATCCAAAAAACCATCATTTTAACGAGTTTGGTTGTTCTATTATCGACACTTAACAATCCAAATATTAATTTTTTCAAATCACATATTAATTATTTTTGCAATTACCTAATTAACAATTCAAGTAATTAAACTTCAATTTAAGTCGCAAAGTGTTAGGTTAAGTTAAATTTAACACTCAGCCATTGCAATAATCACAACTGTTCTAATATCAAAATTCATTCATCCAAATATTAATTACACAAATTTAATTACATGTTATACAAGCTCGAATCTTTCAAATTTCGTTTGAAATCCCTCGGACGGCAGACCATGGGAAGAGCCACAATTATAATATGATTTTGTTTCTGATATTATTTTTATTATTTTCTAAATTTTACACTGTTGCTTTAAAAATTCTTCTTCAAATATATGAAATTCTTTCGTTCAAAAATTATACGTTTAATTTTTGTTATTCAAAGGTTAATTGTATCTCCCATTTGCTTCATTTTGTATAATATTGAACAATTAAAAAATTACACAAATGCCTGCAATATAACTGTGTATGTACAAATCAAGCCTATTGAACTTCACGTTTGATTCGCTACCTCGACCTTCTGCCTACTCTTCGGTTTGTTAAACTCTCTCTCACGATTCTCTTACAGCATCTCAGTACAAACACCCACAGGCATTGTAAATTTCACCGAGTTATCGAAGGAAGTTGGTTGAATCCTCTCGAAATCTCTGCTCTAACTCCGTTCTATGTTCGGCAACTAGATATTGTAATATGTGTACAAATTAGCTCTCGATTCAGAGGATGCGTTATCAAGTTTGCAGAAAGTCATTGTCTTGCCCTCGTTTTCACATTTTATCCTTTTTACATTTCGGGATGGCACGCACTGGCAGGAAGCACGCAGAGATAATTTGTACGTTATCGTTTAGAAATGACGTTATAGCGTTCAACTCGTTCCTCTTTGGACGAACTTTCGTGATTGATGCCATGAGTAGGCTGAGTTTTCCCCAAAATGTTCAATGAAAACACTCGTTATTGGTTTATCAAACCGGAAGATAGTTACACCAACACGATATGTCTAGAAAAAATCTAGAGAGGAAAAGTTTATACAACGATGGGAATGAAGCAACCCATGGTGACGTAAATATATTTTAGTAAAATGAAATACTTGGCTTCTAAAGACTATACTTATTGAGTAAGTTAAAAAGAATTTGGTTTCAAAGTATTATTTTATTAATGCCAATTGTAAATAAATTTTATTTATTGTTAGATAGTAAATGATGAAAATCTATAATTTTCTGTGCTTTCTCTAGAGAAATTTAGATAATTTTACTTTTCTCGATGCAAATTAGCAGATGGTAAATTTTATAATTCAGCTTTTAAATTAATTAATAATTTATGTAACATGTTGGTTGTCAGACTGAATCTGTTAAAAATTCCATTAAGTACTATTTTTATTTTTCACTCTCACCTTTTATTTTTAAATCTCATCTATAATTTTTACAATATTATATCTTTTATTCTTAATTTGAGGTATTTAATACGAGCATTTTTGTTACAAAAGTCAAACAATTCTCAATGACATGAGTGATGAATTCCTATGAAAATACGAGCATCACGCACATATGATAGTCAAAGTGTTAAGAATTAATATGTATAAATTAGAAATTATTTCCATTATACAACAAACATTATGTATTCAAAACTAGCTTTAATAGAACTGCAAAATTTATCAAGTGAAATTTTAAGCTACTAATGCTATTCTGAAATTTGCTTTGCATAGAAGATAATATTTCTTAAATTAAATTAATTAATAAGTGCACAATTCTTCTTTGACATTCAATTCATCTCCCATGGCAAAATCTAACTAATCATCAATTAATTCAATTTAGCACCTTCGTTATAGCCTATTTGCAATTTATGTTCCCACAAGTATGGAACATTTATCACGTCATTAATTAATTTCAAACAACTTTTTTCTAATAGATTATTTAGCCTAATATAGCATTCAATTGCATAACCTAATCGCTCGTTATCACACATTATTAATAAATGAAGTTGTGTTGATAGTATGTTATTATTAAACTGCAAGAGTTTATGCAAGTAGGTATGATATACCACCAATATGCAAATTGTATGTAAAATTTATGCGAAGTATATGCAGGGTAAACATGTACAGTAAATACGTACTTTCCTAGGGATTAGAAAATTCGTACACGTAATCAGGTACAAATTATCATAAGAAGTAATTATATTATGTGTAACGAGCTGTTGTATTATTAAATTATTAAAATTATTTATATATAAAACTGTTAAACCATTAAAACTATCACTATTAAATTATTACCTATTTTATATCGAAACAAGTTTCAGACACAATTTAAATTACAATAAATAACAAAAGTGTTATTAATTAAAAATCCGTGTCGTTTATTTAAATTTCTGAGCTTCTAGACATTGTTAAAAAAATCTTTGTTTTTCTTTTCAGAAAGTTCCGTATATACAAAAAATATGTAATATAAATGATCCTTTAATTATAAAACGTACTTCTATTAATGACTCATATTTTTAATTCATTTTTATAAAAACACACTTGTGCATAAATCTTTGCAGTCTAGTCACGATCGATCGTCAATCGATATTTGCTCGCCGTTCGATTTTTCTAACTTTCATCCCGAATCATCAAAACTTGCTGATAATACGATAATTTACAACGACCTCGTAGCTAGTTAAGCGCGAAACAGATTTACTGACATCACTGCTGAAAATATGTACGAGATTACACTTCCTTAATTCAGTGCGGCAGAAATAACATCCTTTTATGGATATTTCAGATCGTTAAAAAAAATACAAATTAGATTCCGCGCTACATTAATTTTCATTCTTTAAGTTTTACTGTTTGAATAAAAATTGTACCATACTTCTGCTCCATTCTTTCAATTGAATGAAGTGGTTAATACACTTTAAACAGATCAATAAATTTTTGATTTGGTAACTCTCTTTTACATTCATTTAAAAATTAGGAAAGTTAGAACAAAAAAACAGAAAAAATATTATAATAATTTTTATAATTAAATTTAATAATTTCTTAACTGTTTTTTTTATAATTAATTAATTTCATTTATGAATTAGAATAAAATAGTGGCGCATAGTGGAAACAAAGATGGCTTTATTTATCATTTAAAATTATCAGAAGTTAAAGTTGTACTTTGATTGTAACAATTAATCCTACATAAATCAGATAATAAGTAAGAAAGTAATTTAAGAGGAAAAGAATGAAGTAGAACTCAAATTTTTCAA